AGTTACTCTTTTCCCTTGGAGGAGAGGTATTTTCTTGTTTTCCCATATTTCTCGTGATCTGGTGGTGATTTCTTGTCATCTGATGGATGGTGTGTTTCTTTCAAATTCTTGAAGTTCAGCCTGAATGATCAGGAGCAAGCAGAAAGAGGTGATCTAGAATCTCTTTGCCATTCTGTTGTGATCGCTGGTGCAGCAGATTCAGTAGATATTGGGGAATATTTTAACCCTCTTAGTATTTGGATGTTTAGCTCCAGTGCTCTTAGATCCGTCGCTAGCTCATTTGCTGGAGGCTGAATTATCAGTAGAAAATCTTCATTCCCTGAAAAATCTAGTTCACTGGAGCCATGTGGAACCTTCTTCTGAAGGCCCGGCTTCTTCTGTTTGCCGAGATGGAGGCTGCCAGCACCTGGGCGCTGCTGCTACTGCTGCTGCTGTTGATGCTAACGCTGGCGCTGCCCCGGACCTGGGCCCAGACCCATTTTTTCCCCCATCCCGGGCCCGCGCAGCTGCCGCTGCTAGGGAATCTCCTGTAGCTCCGGCCGGGAGCTCTGTACTCCAGGCTCCTGCGGGTGAGGGGCCACCAGCAATACAAAAATTCTTAACAAGATCTAACAAATAATATCCAACGACACATTAAAAAAATTATACCTCACAATCAGGTAGATGTTATTCCAGGGATGCAAGGGTGGTTCAACATACTCAAAACCATAAATGTAATGCTTCATATTAACAGAAGGAAAGATAAAAACCATATGTTTGAATCAATTAATGCTGAAGAGCATTTGATAAAATACAACACCCTTTCATGATTAAAACTCTTAGCAAAATCAGAATAGAAGGATTTTTTCTCAGGAGAATGAAAAACCCATACCTAATATTAGAGTGAATGGGGGCTAAAAACAAATGGGGAACAAGACAAGGCTGCCCATTTTCTCCACTCTTTCAATACAGTACTGGAAGTCCTAGATGATGCAATCAGACAAGAGAATAAAATAAAAGGCACTCCAATTAGGAAATAAAAAGTGAAATTATTTTTGCTCTCAGATGACATGATTGTATATTAATACATAGAAAACACAGAAGAATCCACCAACACCCC